TCTCGGGCCGAAGTGCAGCGACAAAAATATCACTGAAGAGTAAGATGAACATTGCTGTCAAGAGTACATAAACCAAAATGTCCTGTTACTACCATAATGGATATCTGTGGTGTGGTCTTTCAATCTTATCGCTCAGGCACTGGGGCGGGGGGCATTCAGAAAACTCTGTTATCGAATCAGACTGAAAGTGTTTTGTTAAAATGACGTGTACCTACGAAATATCAAAATTAAAATTTCCTTTCTTTGTTTGAAGTAAAACACAAAACTACACAATGGGCTATCTGTGCTCTGCCCACTACAGGTATCAAAACCCGGTTTCTAGCGTTGTAAGTCCGCAGACATACCACCGTGCCACTGGGAGGCAAGATGGAAAGATTCGGGTTCAAAATGGACACTGAAGTAAAGTATAATGTCGTCACTATATAAAATGTTTACATTACATTTATACTAATTGTATGGGACGTTAGAATTTTGATAACGATGAATAGTAATATCAAGTTACTGTAAAACAATTCTCGACACACGAGTGTGGAGAATTTGCATAATCAAACCATACATACTAATATTTTACCATCTGGACACCTAGCAATAAGAAAATTAGCACTTGTACACCTAGTGACAACAGTTAGCATCTGAATAACAAGCGAAAAGAGTTAATATATGTACACCTAATGACAAAAGTTAGCATCTGAATAACAAGCGACAAGAGTTAATATATGAACAATTAGTGACAAGTGTTAGCTTCTTTTTTTACACCTGATTTTCTTGTTGTTGTTGTTATTAGCGCAAAGCTATAAAATGATTTTTCTACATTCTGTCCACCACGGGTAAAAACCCTAGATTTTAGTGTTATAAGTCCGTAAATTTGCTGCTGATCAATCGGGGGGACTCTAACGACTTCCAAATAAAGGATATAGACAATTTAAGAAAATAAAAAAATTAACAAACAATCGCTTTTCTCAGTAGCGTAAAGCACCAAATAATTTGCGAAAACATAAACTAGGAGCTGTAAAACTCGTACCAGACACCAAGGCACTCTATTAGCCAAATCCTACACCCTTGCAATTATTTTAATTACGCCTTACTGTTCTAAGTTTTAAAAATATATTATTAATGAAAAGAAAGAGAGAGAGGGAGAGACAAAGAGAGAGAGAGAGTTAAATGTGAAAATGAACTTCAGCTCTTTATGACTACATACTTATCAATCTGCCCTAAAACCGTAATTACACGGTGACGTTAGGGTTAGGTGATCATCACCGCTTCAGTGGTGGTGTACCATTGGATAAGTATAGAAGTTAAATGTGAAATCGATGAATTGAGTAAAATGTTTAATTGGATATTATACACGGCAGTAAATATGGGAAAAGATAATTAACTGTACTAATGTCTTTCACAACAAACTTCGAGAGATCCTGATGGTCGTTCATTACTCTAAAATCTGGGTTTTGACTTTACTGCCACGAATCCAAACATATATTACATAAATTGATAAAGCTTAAAACTAAGTACATAGCAGGATTTATAGCTTAACTTACAGAGACAAAGCTCTCTCTCTCTCTTACATCATTTTTAGACATGGAATTAGTGGCGCTCTTCTTAGTTCAACTCACCATCTTCTAACGTTCTAACTGATCACCATCTTGTCAAATATATCATTCAGTTTTGTAGGGTTAACATTACATTGTGAAGGTAATCAAAAAGTGGGGAAAAATATAATATCTCGACTAGTTTGTGTGTGGCATTTATGAACTCAAACTGTTTCCACGTGTACCAAATAAAAATATCTGTATCGTAATGATTTTGTTAAATTCAGCCCAACTACAGCAGATGGTTCAAAGTGTTAATTCTCATATTCCTGGCGTCGTGCAGAGGCAACATATATACTCACTAGTAATTTGCCCGGCATGGCCAGGTGGATAAGGTGCTCGACTCGCAATCTAAGGGTCGCAGGTTCGAATCCCCGTCCCACCAAACATGCTCGCCCTCTCAGCCGTGGGGGCATTATAATGTGACGGTCAATCCCACTATTCGTTGGTAAAAGAGTAGCCCAAGAGTTGGCGGTGGGCGGTGTTGACTAGCTGCCTTCCCTCTAGTCTTACACTGCTAAATTAGGGACGGCTAGCGCAGATAGCCCTCGTGTAGCTTTGCGCGAAATTCAAAAAGAAACAAACAAATAAACACTAGTGAGTTAAGAGTCGTCAGAAGAAACGAAATGATCATATTTATGTATTTTTTAAAAGCAGTGTGTCCATGCAGGTAGTGTAGTAAAAATACAGGAGTAGGCTTAGATCACGCTGAATGTTTCATCACGTCTCCCTTGACTACAAGCGGTCTCCACCAGGAACGCCTTTTTTTTTTTCCACCCCTCAAGAATGATCTATGAATTGATTATACACTGCACGTGCACGTTTCGTGGAGGGTCAGGTGGGAAGGCATCAGTTCAAGCATGTTGGATAGTAACCAAAAACAGTTCAACGTCATGTTTTTTATTGACTAAATTTGCTTGTAGTCCACGACAAGTAATAACTACATACATGCAATCTGGCAAGCACATATAACATCAATGATTTCCGTTAAACTGTTGATTCAACTATACCAACGCTCACGTGAACGTTCTGCAATCAAATCTCTATAGCAAACTAATTCCACTATACGCGTTGACCATAATCTCTAAGCAGTGTGTTAAAACAAGCACCGTAAATGTTTTCGCGAACTTAATGTTTAAAGTACGGCTGGAAAACAAAAAGGAAACAGCGCACGTATTTGAAAATCATATACTTACAAAAGTACAAAATACGGGCAAAATAAATCAAACTATATATCTAATTTAACGGACTAGCTGAAACAAAACCCACTTCCCGGCTCACTTTGTAAAGAAATAAAATTCAACCTTTTTGTGATACCACTACTTACCCAATAACAGTAGTGCCCCCTAGTGGCACAGCGGTATGTCTGCGGATTTATACTGCAAGAAACCGGGTTTCAATATCCGTGGTGGGCAGAGCACAGATAGCCCTTTGTGTAGCTTTGTGCTTAATAACAAACACACAATAAAAGTAGACAATCACATGGTTTATAATACGTCATAAATATTACATCATATCTAATACGTTATAAGTATTAAAACAATAAACATTACTCATGTCATAGCTAAAACCACCCCCTGCTATTCAATCACTATGACCAAAGTTCCAAAAGCGTGTGTTTGAAATAGTAAGCACGAGCTTTCGGACTAAGCTTTCATCATTAGATTAAACAAATTAAGTTACCTATTACTATATAACTGGAAAATTTTATCGCTTATAGATTTAATGAAAAATGAGTTCCACTGTTTTGCTTATTCAATAGAAATAAAAGTTTGTTGTTTTTTATATTTTTAGCGTAAAGTCATACAAAGTTATCTGCGCTCTGTCCATCGGGAGGAAAGAAACCTAGGATTTTAGCGTTGTAAGTCTACGTCCGTAAACATATCGCTGATCTACTGGGGGACAGAAATAAAATAATAAAACATAATCATGTATTCAAAACGATGTATTAGAAACAATATGATCGTCTACTGTTAGAGTGTAAATATCGGTATCACAAAATAGTTTGACTTTGAGTTCTTAAAGTGGGCCAGGAAGGGCTAACTTAAAGCAACTGGGTTTTGTCTCAGCTAATCCGTTTTGAATAGTTAAATAAGATAAATACTTAAATAACTAGTTGAAATATATGGTGAGTATATCTGTGTATAATGATGTACTTATAAATCTAAAATCTTGAAAAACGAGCTTGAAATAAGTTTCCTTCAACCAGTCTATTATTCAGACTATGTAACATTTTAAACAAAAATATAATGTGTTTGTTCAACGTTATAAACAGTTGACACTTCAAAAAAATACTGATCATAGAATTAAACAATTATACACACACACACATAAAAATTATTTGGAGTTGCTACTGAAAAGATGTTTTTTCTTCTTCTTGCAATACAAAGGTAGGTAAGTATATCTAAAATAAACGAAGTCACTAATAAATCTGTAGCCCGGCGTACAAGTGTACAGGATATTTTGATAGGCCTTGATATAGATTTAGGATTAAGGTAAATATCTTCTAATCTGGTCGAATCTCGTAAAATCTTATTGGGTTTACGGCCGAAAATAGTCTTCACAGTGAGAGTGCCCAACTGATAAAACAATGCCCTCTGATCTTTACAAGTAAAATCGTAACAAAAGGACATTTAATTAGTTATACTCATTACCGAGTTGATTTGTAGTTTTGATCTATGATCGGAAGTTATTATTGATATACAAATAATTAAATATGGTATTCCTAATTATCAAATAATCCCATACCTAGAGCATCAACGATTTTGGAATTTTCAAACAATTTCACACTTCTACTTAAATGAACTTGATAGTGTACTTTTGGTTGCTTTTCTAGGGAAGAACTTGCAGAAGTGTACATCAATGTAGCATATTTCTCCACAGTTACTTAGCAACAACCCATGGTTACCACCCATCTTTATAGTTACCTAGCAACGTTCTGTGGTTACTATTAACTTCCACAGATGAGTCAAGTGCATACATTGCTCTAATATTGTTTTGTACTCCATGAGACGGATGATGGCTTTATTTCTCCTATATCACATTATTAGCATTAACTTATTCGAATTTGTATTTTGAGATTCATTCTGGTCTTCGATGTTGTATTCTCTTTTATTTCCCCGAAAGGTGTCCGAAGGCCGCCTGGAGAGGTCACCTTTTTTAACTACTCGCACCACTATACAGTAGTGTCTTGTCTGTCAGTTATTCAGAAGAAATAAAATGATATCACCTAAGGGACGCTTAACGTTGCAATTTGTACTGTCGTGACGTTAGTAAAATGTGCGCATGTCATGAATCACGAGAAGAATTATGCACTCTGTAGACTACAACACGGCATGACATATGAACTTCAAAAGCAAGAAATAAAAATATTTGTTACTCTTAATTTTGGTTTTATTTACTGTTGAAACAAAACAATTTCAGGGGCCCTGCGGAGGTATAACTGGTATTAGTACTACTGGATATTGGCTTAAGTATTACTTACTCAGGGGTTTACATATTTATATAATCTAGATAGTTAATCAAAAATTATGTTACATCTATGAAAATACAAGACCACTGTTAAAAAACTGTCAGTCTCCTCGGTATTTCCGTACATCATTGTTATGTAAATTATAGGTCATATAATCTGTATTATATATATAGTTACCTCACACAGTCTCGTTTCGGTTGTCGCTTTGAAGTGAATAACTGCGTTTCACATGTTTCAAATTGTTCATAAACTATGGTTTGATCTCAAAGGAGAGATTTCGATGTTTCACTCATGAAGAGAGCCATCGGTCAAATAGAAGCTGGCCGATCATAGCAGGTTATTCTGAATTGGTTATACTTGTCTCAAAGTATTGCTAACAAAATGTAGAATCGCTTCAAAACTATTGGTAAGGTCGCTTGACACCTAAACAATGTAATTATCATCCACTCCACAAACAGTCGAACCATAAGTACCTTCTCCGAGACTGAGTCAGATGTTCGTACATGTAATTAAATGCCGCGTCACTCAGATGCCCAATGTGATGCAATTACGGTCAAAGTAGGACACAAAACAGATCGTCTTTAACGGCACCAAGAACACGTAAAGTGGACGAATGACAATATTCCTCTTACAGAAGATTCACACTACATGTAGTCAGATAAGTGGCGTATATTCATCTGGAACCAAGTTCTCTCAATATTCAAAGCCATTTTCTTGAAAGAGCGTGACACACATGGCAAGAACAACACTAATAGGCGTACTACCCTCAATATCTTACACAATAGAGCAGCATTCATTTTACAGCTTTAGAGATCATATCTTAAGCTCCTTTGTGATGGTGCAGTTAGCCCTTAAGCTAGTCAAGTAGGTGACGACACTAAACAAGTCGATACAATCCTTGAAAAAGAGAGAATTGACCAGAAATAATGTCTTGCGTGCTTATGAATAATAACTCAGGACCTTATTGACACTCTGATTCTGAGCATGTAGCATTGAAAACAGACTGTCTTTGATGTTGTGACAACTACATTCCATATGAAAGTCAACTGATTTAAAGTTATCTCTACAAAACAGTCCTTTACAAGAAAGGAAGACCAAAGTATTTGCGTTTTACATAAAATGACAGGACATCAGATGCCTGATTTGCATACAAATTAACTGGATGATGGAGACTGGCATTATTACGTATTTATAAGAGTAACGATTAAGTTAACAGTACATTTTGGTTGATTTTCTAGGGAAGAACGTGCAGAAATGAATATTGATGAAGCATATACAGTGGATTTGCGGTGTGATAGCTGAAGTATTATAAATTCCTATAAACATTTTACTGGTATAGCAGAATCTTGTTGAATTTCGCGCAAAGCTACACGAGGGTTATCTGCGTTAGCCGTCCCTAATTTAGCAGTGAAAAATTCCAGGAAAGGCAGCTAGTCATCACCACCACCCATTGCCAATTCTTAGGCTACTTTCTTACCAACGATTGACCGTCACATTATAATGCCCCCACTGCTGAAAGGGCGAGTATGTTCGGCGGAACGGGGACTCGAACCCGCGACCCTCAGATTGCGAGCCGAGCGCCCTAACCACCTGGCCATGTTAGTTGAGATGTAATATACAAGGCAAAGCAAGTTATATAAAAAGATATACAGATAGTTCCCGAGTTCTTAATTTGGTGGAAGCAGGCTCTCTGGTGTGAAAATACTGGTAAACTATGAATGGTACTTACCTTAGTGTCATGAACAGCCTTGAGTTACGAACATATGAACAAACTTAGTGTCAGTGCAAAGAAGGCGCGAAACGGAAAACGCCAAAACTGTTCAGCTTAGCTGTCCATTTAACGAAACATGATGTAAAAGCCTTTGCTAAGAACATATATAATAGAAGCGATAATGAAAATCTAAAAACCGTTTTTTGGATAATCCATTTTGCATGAGGTAGCATACGCCTGTAAGATTGTATAACACTTAAATATAATATATTTAGACAAAAATATGATAGCTACTAAAAGCCATATGACGTCAGGGTAGAATAAATACTAGTAAATGAAATATTAGAAATTCATTATTTAAAAAAATGGAAATTTTTCATGTTAGTCGCCGTTGCTTTTATACAAATTCTACTTAGATACCATTGTAAAGCAACTTACATGAAAAAAAAAAATACTAAAAGTCTGTAAAAGAAGGAGGTTCGGGGATGAGCGAATATGGTCAGCTAGACGCTTCTGGATTTCATGTGTGAAACGTTTTGGGGCAAAACTATTTTTTATGATTACATTGCTCCAGCGATAGTAGTGATGAAAAGAATACTCACCTTGACAAATAAATGTGTCGTAGTAATTCAAAAGGTTGGCTCGTTGAAGGACTCTGTATAACTGTAGTTCTGATTCGTTTGCAGGTTGTGACGTCATTGCAACTGTACAAAAACATGTATATATATATATATATATATATATATAATTGTTAAACTAA